TATCACTAACTTCTGCCCACTTCGTCTTCAGGACATCTGCAGACCTCCCTTGCACAAGACGCCCGAGCAGCGCTTCCGCAGAGCTTCCGCAGGAATGAATGAATGGCTGGACGCAGCCTCTTGATTTATACTTCTGTGTTGCATTYGTTTGCCTTGCATCCCTGGCCCATGAGGCACACAGTCCCCCCCGTGGTACTTGCTGGACCGGACTGGTACTTTCTAGACTTTCCCATGACTGCATGGTGACAACCCTACGCCGCAGTGCAGTCGCACTGGGATCCTACTATTTGCCCTTGCCACTTGTCCTCGTCTCCAACATGGGCTTGCTTTAGTCACACCACTTGACCACTTGCCAACCTTCTAGAAGGACTGCAGCTGGACTTCTACTCTACAGGTCTATGKATCAAATCCTGSCTACCTAAGGACCTACGACAGACCTACTTACCACTGGCGGTTCTACAGGTCGCAGGTTCAATTCTTCAAGTGGTCACAGATATTGTACACAGGTAAGTTGGGGAAACTGGTGAATACCGTTTCATTATTGATTATCATTAAGAAATCATTATTGCAAATATTGTTCTATTGATTATCATTAAGAATTATTATTTCGTTATTAATCATTAATTAAACTTATTGAATAAATAATTCGTTATTATTTTCTTATTACGAATTTTTCGAGTTGTTTACGGGAACATTTATCTTTTTCTGTTTGATTAGGTGTGTCTGAAGTCCATCAGTGGGACAGGGACCGTATGCGAAGTGCTTGATTGTTCTACCCCTGTTCCCACTCTCCCTACCTTCCCCGTAATCTGTGACCACCGGGATTTCTCAAGAGCCACATCAGCTAGAACTGATGTCGATGGAACAGGACACCGGGCCACTGCCACAACGCAGTGCCAGGCTTGCAGTTCGTGCCAGTTCTGTGGTACCTCCACGAACCAAGTATCAGCAACAGCGACTCAGCAGGCGGACGACTCCAGCGGCATCGAGTACAGCACTGACGATACCGGTTACCACCGGAGTTCTTCCCGCATGTCCGGTCCAAGGGGCCCTTGAACCGTTGGCTGACTACCTTGGGCGGCTACAGGTATTCACGGATGCCGTAGCTACCGCCGAGGCTCAGCAGGAGGCAGCAGAGGCAGAAAGTCAGCGGCTGGCCAATGAGGCGGCAGCCCAAGCTCAGCAGACTGCTGAGGCTGACGCAGCGGCACGAGACAGACGGAATGCCGCCAGCACGGAGTCCCTGATTCAAAACGAGAATCAGTGGACAACGCTACTCCAAGGCATGTTCTTTGTGCCTACGGACGCGCAGGCGGATCCGACACAGGCGGAGGCAGAGAGAAGTAACCTGGCTACCGTGATGTTGAGCGTGATGAGGGGAGTAATGTGGAACAACAAACTGCTGCAGGCACACCTGCGCACGGAACGACAGCAAAGACAAAAGCACCAGCAAGACCTGGCCGCTTTAACAGCTGCCGTCCGCGACGCGGCAATACAGCAGCAGCAACAGCAACAGCTGTTGAACTCCACTCGCGCACGCATCAACAGCATCGAGGCTAAGGCCTCAGCAGCGCCAGGCTGCACGACAGACGCAACGAAGCAGCTCAATGAGCGCATCCATCACGTCGTCACCATCATTGGCGAACTAGGTGATTTCACTAGTCGGCCACGATCAGCAGCACGGTGGCCGCCATCAAGACGAGCATCACCAAACTGCAGACAAGACTGGACGCCGCTACAAAGAATTACAAGATGCCGCACTTCGACATCAGCAAGTTCGACGACTACAACAAGTCGGACGCCTTGACATGGTGGCAAAGTTTCCTCACGGAAGCATCATGCCGCACTGTCCCGGCTGACGACATGATGAAGGCGCTCTACTTACAACTGATTGGAGGAGTGCAGGCATGGATGAACCATCTAGCGGCTACCAAGAAATGCACCATCGCCGAACTCCAGACACACATCACGTGGAAGGAGTTCGAGAAGCTATGGTTCACTCGGTTCATGGTCCGCAACGTCGTGAAGGCGGCCATGAACGAGATGTACACCTGCTCTCAAGGGAGTATGCCAACTCGAGACTGGACAACCAAGTGGCAAAATATAGTGTGACCACGCCAGACTTCGATTTGAGTTTTACTAACCAACGATCCGAGTTCTTCTCGCGATCGTGCGCAGGACTGCGAACCGCACTCGGCAACGAGTACGATTACGCCTCATTCCAGGCCATCCTGGATCATGCGAACTTGGTCATCCAAACGGATGACAAGGCCGCAAACGAACGGCAGTCCCAACCGCATTATGTGGCTAAGCAGGGCTATCAACGACCGGCACATAACAATGCCGTGATTTTTGACGAAACAGTCGATTTCCACGCTGCAGCAGCATCCTCGAGTGATGGAGGAATTGTAGCAGCGTTCCCGCCGAAGCGTCCCAAGAGAGTTCGGAAGAACAAGGCGACACAAGAGACGGCATCGACGGGAACTTGGCAGCAGCCATGGACGACATACAAGATAACCAAGGAAATCTATGACCTTCGTCAACGGTACTGATATTGCCTTTGGTGCAATGGAGTCACTCACCTGACCGCACAATGCCCCGAAAAGGGCAAGGCACGCGTACCCCGTCCAGCTAACTCGGGAAACTGAGTTACGCAAGGAGAGGGGCGACATCTCTCCTCACTCCGCCGAACCCGGTTGCCTTGCTAGCAATTGATGTCACTATCGGGGAGCATGCGTTAGTCGCTGATTCTCGTGCTACGTACGAGGATTATGCCGCCGAGCTGGTACCACCACTAGACCAGCAGAGCCACGTGCACTTAGATTGCGTATGCGTAGCCTGTACACCGTCGGCAAGTGAACCGGTCAGTTCGCCACTGATTTCCGAGGACTTGACGGCGTGGTCAAGACTTGAGGAGCTTGACCCACTCACAAAAGAGGACTTCGCTTGGAAGCCTCTACCCTCGACCGAAACCTTGCCAAGGCCGCATTGCAACGCCTTGATGGCAAATCTACGCTCCTATTTGCACACTACAGTACCAACTCCGTTGATGGACGACGGGGTAGCGGTTGTYGATCTCCGCTCCTATCTTGCGAAGATTGACCGTGAGTACGCCACCCAAAGGTACGCCGAAACCGACGCACCTTTGCTCTATATCCGCATTCAAATCGGAAACGCAACCTGTAATGCCTTGATTGATTGCGGAGTGTCTCGCAACTTTATGAGCCAAGCCTTTATGGCCCGCGCAGGCCTTGGCCCGCGCATCCGAAGGAAGACGCAACCCACGCAAGTTATCTTCGCGGACGGCCGCACGGAAACGTCGATTGACCGATGCGTCGACGGCGTTCCGGTATACTTTGCGCCACTTGCGTGCGAGCCGGTGTCTTTTGACATCCTCGACACCAAGTTCGACATGATTCTAGGCATGTCTTGGTTGCGTAGCGCCGATCATCCGGTGAACTTTCATGATCGAAACGTTCACAGCCCTGATCGGAACGGAGTGTTAGTCCCATGTACGGTCGCGACCCCTCACACTTCGATTGCTTGTCACGTGGTTTCCGTTGCGAGAATCCGCGACGCCATAGCTCGGAATGACGTCGAGGAGATGGGCCTGGTATTCTTGCATGCTCTCCCCTCGCCGGACGAACCAGCCGCGTCACCGCCGGACCCACGCATTTCTCACCTCTTGGACGAGTATAGAGACGTCCTCGAGGCTCCCACCGGTACGGTTCCGGATCGGCCCATACGTCACGGGATCACTCTCGAGGCTAGCGCCATCCCTCCGCGTGGATGCATCTACCGCATGAGCGAAGAGGAACTCGAGGTGCTCTGCGCACAACTCGATGATCTTCTCGACAAGGGCTGGATTCGCCCTAGTTGYTYGCCWTACGGTGCMCCTGTTCTCTTCGTCCGGAAGAAGAACAAAGAYCTACGGTTATGCATCGAYWATCGMAAACTTAACGCACAAACCGTAAAGAACGCCGGCCCTCTCCCTCGGATTGATGATCTCCTTGAGCGGTTAGGCGGCGCAACGTACTTCTCGAAGTTGGACTTGAAGTCCGGTTACCACCACATTGAAATCCAGCCTCAAGATCGGTACAAGACCGAAGTCAAGACGCGGTACGGGCATTTTGAGTGGGTCGTCATGCCATTTGGCCTCACCAATGCCCCCGCGACTTTCCAAGCAGCTATGACGACTGAGTTTCGCGACTTGCTCGATCGCAGCGCCCTCATCTACCTCGACGACATCTTGGTTTATAGGAGGACGTTGGACGAGCACATCGTACACCTTCGCGCTGTTTTGGATCGTTTGCGACTAGCCAAGTACAAAGCGAATCTCGACAAGTGCGAGTTCGCTAAGCAGGAGCTTGAGTACTTGGGTCATTTTGTCACGACGAAAGGCATTCGTCCCTTAGCGGACAAGATCCAAGCCATCGTGGATTGGCCGGAACCCCGTTGCACGACGGATGTACGCTCTTTCATGGGTTTGGCTGGATATTATCAGCGATTCGTCGAGTCATACTCGAAAGTGGCCGCTCCTTTGTCGAGACTTCAGTCCCCGAAGGTGCCCTTCGAGTTCGACGACGCAGCCCGTGGCGCGTTCACTACGTTGAAGGCAGCAATGCAAGCCGCACCTGCCCTCCGTATATACGACCCCACCCTTCCCACCCAAGCGACTACGGACGCTTCGGGATACGGTATTGGTGCGGTGTTGGAACAATGTCACGAGGACGGTTGGCATCCGGTCGAGTATTTCTCCCAAAAGGTGCCTCTCGTCAACACTCTTGACGACACTAGGAAGAAAGAGCTACTCACGTTCGTCACCGTTCTCAAATGGTGGCGCCACTTTCTTCTCCGCCGTCGGCGTTTTAAATGGAATACGGACAACAATCCGTTGACCTTTTACAAAACGCAGGATACGGTCACTAGCACGATCGGTCGATGGATGTATTACATCGACCAGTTCGACTTTGACCCGTGCCACATTCCCGACCCCGCCAATCTAGCTGCGGACGCCCTCTCACGACGACCCGATTTTTGTGCCATTGTGACCACGGCATTCGACCTCGATAACGATCTGCAGCCGCATTTCGTCAAAGGCTACAAGTCCGATCCGACTTACTCTACGCTTTATGGAGAGCTTTCATCGGATCACCCGTCGGCTAGCCACTATCGGATTTCCGACGGGTTCCTTCTCCTTCACACGAGAGGAAAGGACTTGTTAGTTGTGCCCCAAGATCGCATCTTACGGACTCGTCTTCTCGGCGAATTCCACGACGCACGACTTTCAGCACACCTTGGCGTGAACCGCACATTAGCACGCCTCCGCCAGCGTTTTCACTGGCCCGACGTCCTTCATGACGTCACGAGGTACATTGAGTCATGTGCAGTTTGCCACCGTAACAAGGGCCGATCTCGAGTCCCTTCGGCGAACTGAAACCATTGCCGATTCCTCGGGCACCGCGCCTCTCCATTGCTATGGACGTGACAGGCCCGTTCCCCCGCGATCATCATGGCCATGACGGTATTCTCACGGTCGTTGACCGTTTGAGCAAGTATGCTCGCTTTCTTCCTTGCAAGTATCACGCTGCAGCACCTGAGCTCGCACTACTCTTGCATACCGGTTGGATTACCAACCAGGGTGTTCCGGAAGACATGGTGAGCAACCGAGATACTCGCTTCATGTCGGCCTTTTGGACTTCCCTTATGGCTGAGTCCGGCACGACAATGAAGCCGAGCTCGGATCGACACCCGCAGACGGATGGCCAGACGGAGCGAGCACACCAGACCGCTCAGATGATGTTGCGTACGCTCATCCGTCCCGACCAGAAAGATTGGGTTGACCGGATTCCCGACATTGAGTTCGCCTACAACACTTCAGTGCATCCGGCGATCTGCGTCACACCATTCGAGCTACATCATGGTGGAGAGAAAGCACGGATCTTCGCTGATCTCCTTCTGCCACAGGCCGCCGACATAGACGTCCCTTGCTCTCCCGCTTCCGTTCGGAAGTACCGGGACTTGCTGATCAAAGTCCGCGTGAATATGCAAAAGGCTCAGATCCGCATGCAGCAGCAGGCTAACCGACGTCGACTTCCATGTCCTTTCCGCGAGGGAGACCTTGTTTGGGTCCTCTCCGAGGAATTTGCGCTCGAGCAGGACGTTTCGCGCAAACTCCTTCCGAAATGGTTCGGACCATGGGAAGTCACTTCTGCCGTTGGAGACAACCCCGCAGGTCCTTCCTTTGTGGTCAACATTCCCCCGCACCTTCCAGTGCACCGGGTCTTCCACGCGTCAAAGCTGGCCATCTACACGCCACCTTCCGCCGACGAGTTTCCCGGACGTCGATCACAGGATCCGCCTTCTATGGACGGACATCAGGAAGTTGACCGAGTCATCACRCACCGCAAGTATGGCAACAAGCCAATGCAGTTCAAAGTCACATTCAAGCAATGTGCGCCTGATGACACTCGGTGGATCTCTAGTGCAGACTTCTGCACCCCTCATCTTCGCCGACTATGAGAAACGACGCCTTGCCAAGGAAGCAGCTTGTCCCACCCGACCCATCCCGGTATCGGACAGACAACTCCGCCCTCGCAAGTAGCTCGGTCTTTTAAGAGAGGGAGCGTGTTACATCTTCGATGCCACACAGGTCCTACCGGACCCGACTTAGGGCTAGAGGGACACAGTAGGGCCTAAAGGTTTGACCTTGGGGATTATCAGGCCGTAAAGGCCACGTTTTTGGACCAGACCGACGGGCAGGCCCAAACGACATTCTCGTTTTGGGCCTAGTGGTGCTTTTGAGCAGGCCGCCCGCCGATCTGATCTGAACCGTCGATCTCGACGGTTCAGGTCACGGTCAGGCCTCACAGCATTGAGGCCGGCTCTTGGCCACTGGTACTTATACCGGTACCAGCCTCATTGTGAGGCATCGAGCCACCGGCATAATGCTGGTGCGTATCGGTTGGCAGCAGCAGCGCTATAGTGAGCGCAGGAGCGGAGGACAGCAGCAGCAGCGCGAGCTAGCGCAACAACAGCAGCGAGTGAGGAGGCCAGCAGCAGCACGGCGGCCATAGCTGCCTCGGCCGCAGCCGGACAGGTACCAGGAGGTGAGGATCTCTTTTCCTCCCTCTATGGTCCCGTTCCCTCCTCCTCACCTCCTTCCTCCTCTGCCATCTCTCCCTTCTTCTTCTTCTTCTTCTTCTTCTTCAGACCTCATCTTCTTCTTTTCTTCTTCTTCTTCTTCTTCAGGTTGGAGACTACTAGTTGGACAGAGATCAGTGTTGGACTTCGGTGGTAAGAGGCTGTGGTACTTACCGGGTTCGAGACTTGGAGATTGTTGGGGATGATACTCGGCTGCATCACAGATTGGACACCGGTTACATTAGGACTCTGTATCTCCGACATTGGTGACTCATTGTCCGCGACATTTGATCTTGTTCGATGACATTTTGGATTACCATATCGGTGACCTACTGGTTTCTATCTCGGTGACATCTGGTGCTACCTACATCTCCCACCTCTTCGTCTCTCCTCCCACCTTCATCTGTGTATGTGTGTACGGGGCCTGAGCATCGTCTATGCATGGCTCAGACCCCACCATCTCACGATTGTATGTGTGTGGAGTGATATCTGTGTGAGTCAGTCTATGTGAGTCAGTCCGTTTATCAGACTTCCGTTGCATACATACTCATCCTATATTGGTTGATCTTTGGTTCTGCCCCATGCTCGTTGATGAAATCACGAGTATGTAAACATGTACGCATGCAGACCACCATTCCCTGCCTGCAATGAGGCTCTGCAGCATGATAACCTGTGGGTGAGCAAAGCTGGGAGGAAGAGGAGGGCACTTGAGCCAGAGAGGCCTCAGTAGCACCAAGCCGCAGTCTTGGCAGGCCAAGTAAGATCAGACGTGTTGACGAACTTGACAAAGGAACAGCCACATTGAAGGGGAAGCGGTCTGGTGGTGGGCGTTGCAGTGGCTTCTGGAACGGGGCGGTTGTGGAGGATGACTCAAGCCTCTTTGGAGTCAGATGAGAGTGGCGGGGACCCATCTTATGATGACAATTATGACAGTGCATGAGCGGTTGAGGGACTGTGTTAGTGAGTGAGTGAGTTAGCAAGGGAGTGTGTTAGTGAGTGGGTGAGTGAGTGAGTGAGTGAGTAAGCGAGGGGGTTTGTCCGAGTGAGACCCAGGAAGGTAAACAGCGATTGAAATATGGCTTGCTGTGTCCCGTGGCTCTTCTCAGAATGCTATTCACCAAATGGCGAGCTTGCTGTGTCTTCTAAGTCTTGTTGCAATCTCCTGAATCGTTGATGATTGTGTGCAACTATTGTTTTTTCCCTTTATAGATCTTCCTTGGCCGTCGGTGCGAAGTTTGTAGTTGCATGTGTCATATTGGGTCATGTCCAAGAGTACAGCTCTGTGCATTGTGCACACTGCATGCAGCGCATGGTGCATAGTAGCATACTCTGCCCCCAAACCAAACAGCAGGCCAGACTCATACGCTGTTCACAACTTTAATGCCAGATTCTGCTTGCTCTGGCCAAGTGCAGAACAACCCAGCTTCCGAACGGGGGAAAAAAAGCACAAAAATCCTGGGGTACTCTTTTGGACTGCCAGCAACCCCCCCGCCCCCTCCTCCTCCGTGGGGTCGGGTCGCACGATAGCACAGGAAGGAAAGCTTAACCAAATTTCTCAAATGAAAACGGGAAGGAAAGCACAGCTATGAGTTCTTTGCAATCAGACTCGCTTTCTTCTTTGCTTCACATACATGCAAACAGATGGCGATTCACACTGGTGCACAGCGCCCACTCAAAACTCAGAGATATGGAAATCGAGAACTCAGTCGGATGCAAGCGCCTGCACATCCAACCCTAGATACTGTTCCGGACACCACTGTTCACACTCACTTAGCTCTGCATCACCCTGAATACCCCACACACATTCCTCTCTGACATACACACACGCACTATTGCCTAACTACCTCCTACAGCAGCTATGGCCACTCTACTAACACTAACTATGGCTACGTAGTCTCACTTCAGCCCACTTCGACTTCGGGCAACATGCAGACCACCTCGCACAAGACGATGTAGCAGCGCTTCCGCATGGCTTACGCAGCGAATGAATGAATGGCTGGGCGCTGCCTCTTGATTTATACTTCTGTAACTCGTTGGTCTGCCCCTTTCCCATGCCCTTGGTGCTCACAGTCCCACACGGTACTTGCTTGACTGGACTATGACTGATTGGGACCGGTACCGCTGACCGCATGGGTTTGCACTGCAAACTCGATGCAGTCGCACTGCCGACGTAACGCAGCTGGGCTCACCACTTGCCCACTTGCCTCTGTCTAAACGTGAGCCAACTTCAAAAGGCCACTTCCGGACCTTCCGGAAGTCTGTGGTCTTGGCCTTTCGAACACTGTAGCAGCTACGACCTTGACCTCTCAGAACACCTACAGCTGCGACTTATACAAGGCTGTGACCCCTACTCATCAGATCTACAGATCGAACCCCTACAGCTACACAGACTTACGACAGACATCTGCAATCAGACTCGTTCTCATTCACACTTTTTATGCATGTAAACAGCAGCGCAGCAAACTGGCGACATGCGCCTACTCAAAACACAGAGATATGGCATCCAGATACGAGTTCACTTTCAACTGGTGCAAACTCTTTAGCCTTGACCCAGACTAAGTCGCCTACTTGAAACTGCGATGGGCGACGGTGCTTATTAGCCTGTTCTATCATCCTGTGCTGGGCCTTCCTGAGGTTCTCAACAACAGTTGCTAATTCTTTTTCGTGCTGTATCGCAAACTCCCTGGTACCGGGCGGAAGTCTGTGAATCTGATCCCGGTTCAGTCCTTCGAATGGTCTGCGCGGTCTAAAGGACTTGTGCAGTTCATTGGGGGTGCGACAGGTGGACAGATGCACGTTGTTGTTGTATGCGCTAGCCACCTTGGGTAACATCTCGTCCCAATTGATCTGATCAGGTCTAACGTACATGCGCAGAACTTGCTGCAGGATCTTGTTCATCTGTTCTGTCTGACCGTTAGTCGTTGGATGGCGGCCAGACGACATCAACAGTTTAGATTCGTAGACTCTCATGAGTTCTTGCCAGTTCTGGCTGGTAAAACGACTATCTCTATCGCTAACTATCGACAACGAGATTCCATTCTCACTAACCCAAAAGTCAAAGAACTTCTGTATAACTAAGTCTGTACGTGCCTCTGCAGGCAAAGGCACAAAAACAGCATACTTGCTAAACCGGTCAACTATGACCATGACTTGGCTCTTACCATGTCTACTCTTGACTTGGGTGTCCATGAAGTCTATGGACACTGAGTCTCCCGGCTGATCAGGGATAGGCAAGGGTCTGAGAAGACCTAGAGGGGCACGCGTAGTAGTCTTGTTCCTCTGGCAAACTTTGCAACCGCGAACATACTCTATGCAGTCATTCTTCATCCCTGGCCGGGTGTACGCACGCATCAGATTGGCTAATGTCTTTTGCCAACCAAAGTGTCCCTCTGTGTCATGGCATTCCCCTAGGATTAAACTACGAATCTCTTCGCTTTGGGAACGCACAAGCGGTCAAATACGTTAGTCTTCTCAAACAGCAACCCGTTTGTAGTGCGGTAATATGGTTCAGTCGCTGGAGCCTCTCTAACATTCTTTAGGAGGTCGCTATAGATAGGGTCTTGCGCATACGCTTGCTTCACTTTCTCCTGCAGGTCTCTCCCTATATCCAAATAGCGTACTATGGCTCCAAAGTAGGTCTGATCTCCTACTCGGAGCGTCCGCAACTACGTTGTACTTGCCCTTCACCGGCTTGAGCTCAAAGTCATACTGGTCTATCTCTGCGGCCCACCTAGTCAACTTAGGTGTCATCTTGGCATGAGTCTTCAACCATCTAAGGGTCTCGTGGTCAGAATACACTTTGAAGTGCCTCCCAAGCAGGTAATGCTTCCAATGCTTTAGAGCCTGCCTGAGCGCATAGAGTTCTCTCTCGTACGTCGAGGTAGCAACCTTCTCGGAGGGCATCCTCGCTGACATGAACTCCACCGGTCTATAGCCATTGCCATCATCTTGCTGCAACGCGGCGCCTATACCATACTGACTCGCGTCCGTGGTGACGACAAAAGGCAAAGACGGATCAGCTACTTTGAGGACAGGATACTCTATCAACGCGCACTTCAGTCTCTTTAGCGCAGATGTACAATCTTTGTCCCATTGCCAGATTGCCTCTTTCTTAAGCAACCTACGCAGGGGAGCGGCGATAGTAGAGAAGTTCCTCACGAACTTTCTATAACAGTTAGCTAGGCCTAAGAACGACCACAACTCTGTCAACGTGCGGGGCGTCGGCCAATCTCTAATTGCCACTATCTTGTTGTCCTCTGGCTTGATGCCATCTCCGTCTAATATGTGGCCCAAGTACAGGACTTGTGTCTTGGCCCACTCACACTTTTCTAGATTGACCTTGAAGTTAGCCTCTCTCAGCTTCTCCAAGACCTGCCTCAGATGACCCTGATGCTCCTGGAGGGTCCTACTGAAAACTAATATATCATCTAAATAGACTACTACAATCTTGTCTAACCATGGTCTAAACAGGTCATTCATACAACGCTGAAAGGTGGCTGGCGCCTTGGTTAGTCCAAGGGGCATCACTATAAACTCATAGTGCCCATAACGAGTCCGGAACGCAGTCTTGTACTGGTCATCAGGGTGAACCTCTATCTGATGATAACCGGACTTCAAGTCTATCTTAGAGAAATACTTGCAACCCTGCACCCGATCTAAGAGATCGTCTATCCTAGGCAGTGGCTCAACATTCTTTACAGTAATCGCATTCAAACCCCTGTAGTCTATACACATACGAAGCTCTCCTTCCTTCTTTGGGACAAACAGGACTGGTGCTCCAAAAGGAGACGAATTGGGCCTGATCCAACCTTTCTCGAGGAGCTCGTCTAACTGCTTGCGCAACTCCTCTAACTCTCTAAGGGACATTTTGTAGACTGCTCCCTTAGGAGTTCTACTGCCAGGCTCTATCTCTATCCTGTGCTGGATGCGTCGCGGCACTACTCCTGTCGGCGACTCAGTTAAGTCTTTGAATTCTTCCAACAGCTTGGCAATGGTTGGATCCGTAGAACTATCCTTTTCCTTGGCCTCAATGACAGGTCTAACATAGACTACAAAGACCTGGTCTTCTAACTGGTATTTTTTCACTAGTCACGCGAACGCGGGAGTACTGAGACAACAATGTGCCAAGTTGTTGTCTAGACCTGACACATGGAATAGGCGGGCAGTCTTAACCTCGCCTGATGGACTAGGAAGCCTACACTCATGCTCTCTCAAGTGGAGTGTGGCCCCTGTTGCCTCTCCCCAATCCATTCCTAATACTACATCGAAAGGAAGGTCATCCTGTACGAGGAGAGTCAGGGAATGGAGAACTTTCTCCACCTTCCCATCTTTCTCTAGGCGAAAGTACGCTTGGACTCCCTCTACATAGTCCTCAACACGCATCGTGCGGTTGTCTGCGAGGACACTGACTATGGTGTCTGCTAACTTTTGGACTTTTAATCCTAGCCTTAACTTTTTCAGCGCTCTGCGGCTAATATAACTGCGGGTGGTCCTTGAGTCTATAAGGGCCCCTACTCTACTCCTGAAAACTTCTATATCTACCAAGATCAGTTGTCCTTTACTCTCTTTCTTCATTTTTGCCCAGGCTGGCATTCTCTCCTTTTTCTGCCACACCTGTGAGGGACGTGCCTAAAGAGACGCTAACACAAGCAGTCTCTGGACAGCTATCTAGGTACGGGCCTGCAACCTCTGCCATAGGCTCATTTGGGTTGGGAGTGTCCTGTTCGCGCGCGCTCACTTCTCCACATGGCCTTGAAGTAGGGGCAGTTGCAACCCCTACTGGCGGCTGCCTTTTGACTGCTGGGCAGCCCAACGGGCCTGTCTATACTTTGGACAAAATTTGATTACGTGGGCCGGGTCACCACAAAATATGCATTGACCCTGGTCTACGTGTTCCTGCCATAAACGCTGGTCCAAGCACAAGTCTTCCCAGGGCCTGCCCTGTGGCAAGCCTGGGTGCCATCCTCCTTGAGGTGGCCTTCCACCTCGTCGCTGTGGGGACCAATTAGAACCCTGGCGATTTGGCGGGGGACCTTGACCCCTACCTCCCACTTGGTGGTTCCCTTGTCCGCCAACCCCCTGTGCGCCCGGTCCTCGACCTCCCATGGCCTGGCCCCTTTGGCCTTGGCCTCCTCCTCTAACTGGCGGCCTCCCTCCAGCCGCGATAGCAGTGTAAGACCTCCCCTGTCCCACACTACTGTCCTCCTCTTCAAGGCCCCACTCAATCTGGCTATATGGGACCTCGTTTGTACCACCTTCCTCTAAGGTAAGGATCATATGATCCTTGGCCCTCACTTGGCCTAAGATGGTATGACCCTTCCACTTCTTCCCCTTATTTAAGTCCTTGTGCCAGAAAGTGGACACTGGCATGGACTTGGACTCGAACAGGACGACCTCTCTACTCAACACATCATACGTGATGCCGGCCTGTTGAGACTTGTCAAAGAAGTGCCCACGTAGGGGCTCTGGTATGGCACGATAAAATAATTGGACCAACTGGGGCTCAGTGACCCCATGGTCTGGGACGGCTACAAGTTCGTCCATAACACCCTTGCACTCCTCCACTGTCGTGAGTGGATCGTTTGTAGCTTGTCAGAGGCCCTGACGCCTCTCGTTGGATCAACAAATCGCTCCCTCAGGAGCTTGAAGAATTGAGGAAGGGGGGTGACTTTAGAGTAAGCAACCAGGTTGTTTTCACAACCGACTGCGCGCGCAAGGGATCTGGCGAAACTGACCGCTTCATCTTTAAGGGCCTGGAAAGCTACATGGACTTGTTCTTTTGTCAAGATATGTTGTAAGTACACATAACTGTTGACACTGGCCTCCCAGTTGTCAAAGTTCTCCTCCTTCTTTCCCCTGTATCCATCTGGGAGCTAGAGCTTTACAGGCTCTTTACGAGGTCTGGCCTCGCCCTCTACAGCAGCTATCGCTTTGGCACCTTCAATGGCACCTTCGCAGAACTTTCCCACGTTGTCTCTCAACTTCCTGACTTCTCCCCCAACGTGGGTAACCATATCGCGCGCAAAGTCCCTAAAACCTGACCGCATGGCGCTCAAGGCTACCTCTTGACTCCAACTGGCTTGGCGCTCCTCCATCCAAGCCGCGCTCAACACCTCCAAGCATCCCAACACCTTATCCCATTTGGCCTTGTCGTTTGCCTGAGCCTCCACCTCTTGCCTACAGTCTTTCATGTTCGCCACCTCTGCGGTCAGCCTGTTAACTCCATCTCTCCTCCTCTTCTTTTCTCTCTTCATCCTCAATTTCCACTCCAGTTTATTCTCCTCCTCTCTTTCTTGTCTCTCTTTTTCTTGTCTCTCCAAGGGGTCATCCATTGCTGCTAGCTCCTGGGCCAACGTATCCCTCTCATCCTGGGGCACATAAAACTCTGCCTCCTCATCCTCCCCCAACGATAAATTAGCTACCCACTCGCTAATCTTCTTCTCCATCTCTGTGTCTTTGTCCCTTTTCGTGCCACTACTCCCTTCTCCACTCTCAATCCGCATTCTCTCTTTTTCTTCTTCTGCTGCTACTTCTTCTTCAGCAGCCTTTCTTCTTTCTTCCTCCTTTTGCTGAACTCTCTTCATCTCCTCCTCCAACTTCTTCATCTTTGCCGCCTGCTCCTCCTCGATAGCCTTTAACTTCGCCTGTTTCTGGAGCTCTTTCCTCTCTTTGTTCTCTCTCACTAAGGCGGCCATCTTTTCTTGCTGTTCCTAGGTGTAGGGGCTAGTGCTCTTCCCACTCCGGGTGTCAACCATGGTGATCAGTGCACAACCGGATTAACGGTTCCAAACCTCACCACGTAGACTCTAACCCCTGACTGACAGACCTACTGACTCAATCTAAGACTCACAGAATCCGGACAGGGATCCTGCCAACTAGAGTTTCTAGGAAATCCCCCGTAACTCCTCAGAAATTATTTAACGTCGCAGACAGGACGACGCGATCAGCAGGTCTCTCAACACTTAGACGGCCTGTTGTGCAGCCCACAACTCGGATTTTGGGCCTACCGTGGCACACTGAGCAGCCCGCCGGTCAGTACCGGTTCTTGGGAGGGTTCATGTCCTCCGGGACAGTCGAGTCGTCAGACACAACTTTTAGCCCTACTCAGCCCGTGTGGGTTTGGTCAACAAGGCCCTATCCTTCATCCACAGAGTACTATCACCTAGGACAGAAGAGACGCGATGCAGAAAGAATAGACAGACAGACTGCACTCAGCAAGTACCAAGGGGTGTGTGCCCATCCATAGGGCGAGGGATAGGCTGAAGGCTTGGCGAGATGTTACCGGCTCCAGCTTGGTCAAAGTCTTGGTCAACGTCGGTCAACGCTGTGGTCAACTCCCGGTCAGCCCCCGGTCAACTCCGGTCAACGTCGATCAACACCTCCGATCAACCCTCTCGGTCAACCCGTCGGTCAGCTATGGCTGCCGACTTCACTTTCCTCACCAACCTCTTTCTTCCCTTCACCTTCCTCGCCTCCTTTCACCCTGCTGTCTTCTTTCTCTTTCTTTTTTTTTTTTTGTTTTTGTTCGCCTCTTCTCGGCTATGGCTTCTCTCCCCCTTCTCGGTCTCTCCTCCTCTGTCCTCTCTCACCCTCCTTCGTTACTCCGTGGTGACACTTCGCGGCTATGGTCGCTACCTTCTTCTTCGTGGAACTGCACGGCAACTTCACAGGTACGTAACAGCCAAACTTGTATCGCTCATCTCTCTCTCTCTCTCTCTCTCTCGCCGTAGCGGTATCTTCAGCGCAGCAGGTACATAGTAACCCAATCTTGTATCGCTCAACCTTTCCTCTCTCTCTCTCTCTCTCTCTCTCTCTCTCTCTCTCTCTCTCGGTCGTCGTCTTCGTCGTGGTCTTCTCTTACAGGTGCGCGGCGGCTTCTCCAACCTCAGGTCCGCTATGGCGGACTACAACCTTCGGCAGCCAGCTCTACTATGGCGCATCACCCTGCGACACACAACCCGGCGCGCATGGGATAGCGGGTACCAGCTCTGATACCAATGCAATCAGACTCGTTCTCATTCACACTTTTTATGCATGTAAACAGCAGCGCAGCAAACTGGACATGCGCCCACTCAAAACTCAGAGATATGGCATCCAGATACAAGTTCACTTTCAACTGGCTATGGCGATTCAGCGCCCAAACAACTCACTGTTCACACACACCGGATCACCCTGGATATCCCACACGCGTCACTCTGAACACCACCCATACTCACACACACTTCACACTAAACTACAGCTATGGCAGCTATGGCTGCCTCTACCCTATCGCTATGCTACGCTCCTTCTCTCTCGCCCACTTCAGCTCCGGGCTCTCTGCAGACCTCCTTGCACAAGTCGCTGTGGCAGCGCTTCCGCATGGCTCACGCAGGAATCAATGAAAGGCTGGGCGCTGCCTCTTGATTTATACTTCTGAAACTCGTTGGTCTGCCCTCTTCCATCAGCCCATGGTGCTCACAGTCCCTCGTGGTACTTGCTGGACCGGACTGGGACTGACTGGACCTCACCGCTGACTGACTGTGGACTCACTGCTAACCAACCGTAGTCGTACTGCAATTGCACTGCAGTTTAGTCCACCACTTGACTCACCACTTGCCCACTTGCCCACTTGCTGACCTTCTAGAAGGACTACAGCTAGGCTTCTGGAACTTGCTAAGACTCCTACTCTATAGATCTACAGATCCAACCCCTGTTTCCTTTGGGACCCTACGACAGACTACTAACTGTAACAAATACACAGGTCGCAGGTTCAACTCTCGGGTCTACACAGGTACTGTACATGGGTAGGGCAAGGTCTAGGGATCGAGCCCTGGGATATGCATCTGCTACTGTAAAAGGTGAAAACCGTTTCACATCAAACAACTACCAAAAAATACAGGTCACGGGTTCAAACACTCGGGCGTCAACTCAATACTGTACATGGGCAAGGTAACGTTTGGGAATCGAACTCTAGTGCCCGCATCTGTGACTGCAGAAAGGTGAAAACCATTTCATCTTTTTTCTTTTCCTTGAAATGTTCTTTTTATTATATCAGCTGGAAAGTGGGTCCACCGTCCGTCTCATCAAGGGATACCCACTCGGCACCCCTCCCCGTTATGGCCGGGAGAGACTGAGACATCGGCATTTATTACGTCCTCTCCAGAAGGATGTACCACCGCTCTACCCCTGCTTTGTAACTGTCACAGCTAATCCTGCTAGCCCATTCTGTTCTCTGACATCTATTCCTGCTAGCCCCTTTTGCTATCCCTTTTTTTTTTTTTTTACCCAACACACACTCCTGCCCCTTCTATTGTGGGGGCGGCAGTCCGTTTGCTTAGTACCAGCAAGCTAGCCCCTTTTGCTATCTGACAGCATTGAATGGATCCTTTGAAAGGCCTTCCACGATTCAGACCCTAAATTTGAGTCTCAGGGTCAGAGGCCCTGGCCAAGAAAGGCCGAATTAGTCAGTTTCACAAAAGTCACAGTTGGGTACCTTAGCAGTCAAGTCCAACAGACACCCGGCAAACAGTCACATCCTAGGGGCAAAATCACGTCTCATAATGAAAAGTCATCTTGGAAAGTCACATCCCACAAACAAAGGGCAACTCCATAGGCAAGACTCATGTCCCAGAGGCAGGAGTCACAGTCCACAGTCAAAATCATGTGTCATAATAGAAAAGTCGTGACTCAAAAGGCCCAAGCACCAGCACACCAATGAAAATTCGGTAAGGTACCAGGCCCTGACATCCAAAAGCAAACAGGCCGTGGGGATGTGGTACCGGAACCAAGTCAAGCCCCACGAAGCAGAGGCTGGCACGAGCTGAAGCTCTGTCCAAGACAATATAAGGACTGGCCAGCCTCCTCATTGGGCAGATTGCTCATCTGCGTGAAGTGTGGAAGTGCTGATGCACTTGTGCGCTATTGTGAGGAGCGGAGCGCTGAGCCAGAGAGCTGCACTAGTAGAGAGAGAAAGAGAGAGAGGGAGCAATGATAGCTGCCCAGCGCTGGTAGAGGGAAGGCAGCCATAGATGCGCCAGTGCTAGTAGTTAGTAGTAGACTTCAGAGGGGTTAGTAGAGTTAGCAGTGGGTGTATTCAGAGTTGGTCCTCGAGTAGTAGAAGGTGTGGGAGTGCATGCAAGTAGGGAGAGAAGACACAGGGAGGTGGTAGACAGAGAGAAGACTGAGAGCGAAGAGAGAAGAGCTTCGAAAGAGTTGCATACCTGACTGGAGATGCTGAATACGTGGGTTTGAGCTCGTGGGCGCCTGTGACTGAAACTCTTAATTGCTTATATGATAATTTGTTGGGATTCTACCTGGTCTTCATCTCTCGGGCCTCCAGTGTGAATTTCGTGTGATCTCATTCATGCATGTTGTGTGATTGTGTTCGCTCATTGGTGGTGAACTGAGAGGTTCGTTGCACCTTTTGGGACCATAATAGTAATCATAATACCCTTCGTGATACCCTTCGTGACAGCCATGAATTCTAGTTGAAGGCGAGAGAAGTTTTTTAACTTACCCCCTTCAGCAGAAGGTGCTCAATCAGAAGATCCTCCGTATCTATGCCGTTCAAGCATTTAGCGACATCTGCTGCAATGCGAGTTCTGATATCGAGTGGCTTTCCGTCGAGTCTGTTACCCGTTTGCTGCACGTCATTTGCGTGCACTTCCTTCACTTCGCTTTCACCATCATTTTCTGAGCTTCCATTTTGATGGGTGCCATCTTCACTCCCTTTTGCAGTCCCATCAGTCTTGGCGATGCAGCAACTTGTGTTCCGCTTAGGTCGATCAAGAAGCACCCTAAGCTTCTCTATAGTCTCCCCCATCCGCTCCCGTGCAGCAGCTACTCTTGCACGTCTCCTGCCAGTCAACATCCAGCCGATGCTATCAACCTAACAGCACAAGACAATTTTAAAGCTGCAAACTACATTTTGAAAATTCATTTCAAGAAGGCTCCCCTCCTTTCGTCACATTACACACCTGCTTGGGAGGTGAGGAGCAGAAAGTGTGTCCACGTGTCTGTGACACCCACCCACCCAGAGAGAGAGAGAGAGAGAGAGAGAGAGAGAGAGAGAGAGAGAGAGAGAGAGAGAGATGCTGGTCATTTGTGTCCTGCAGAATCCCGTATGGATGATTAGGCCATAGTAATTCACCTTGCCCCCCAGCTGCAGGTGGGGTACTCTCATGTTAGCAAATAGCAAAATCAGACAGGACCGGAAATGCAATTAGTGTTTTTGGTGAGATAAGCAATCACTTGCCTGCCTCTCTCAACAGCGTTATGTCTGAAGGAGGGTGGCATCATCTCCCAGTCTTCCTTGTCCTTTTCAGGTACCTGCAATTCATCTCCTCCTCCTTTATGCTTAGGGGGCGCAGGATAACTGCCTTGCCTCTGTGTTTGACCTGATTGATGGTTTTCACCATTAACATGACTACCATCACACACTGCTTGCCCAGACTCTTGAACTGGCTCCATGCTCGGGCCCGCCGCTTCCATTGCTCCATGTCGTTCGGAGTTTGGAGGTAATTCCCCCTCCTTGTCTCTGGACATTGAACATGCACAATATTTCCTCCTCTTTGCCACTTGAAATTCCGTCTCCATGGACGAATCACCGTTCAACGACCCTGCTTCTCTTCCCAAGGCTGTTCCCGATGATCTTCTGAACAAGCCTGCTTCTTGTCCCGATGCTGTTCTGCGCGACCCTGCTTCTCTTTCTGATGCTGTTCTCGACGGCCCCGCTTCCCTTCCTGATGCTCTTCTGAATGGCCCACCATCATCCAGAACAGGTTCGGCGTCTGTTGTTACAGGGATTCCCAGTGGCACAGGGATAACTGGACTTGGCACGCCCACACCAGATGGGACCGGCACCGTGCCCCTACCCTCCCCACTTTCTCTTGTTCTCTGATTTGCATCATCAGCTTGTACTTGACGGTTCTGAAGGTGCCGCCGTGGGGGCATGCGCCTCCAGGGCAGTGGCTCCGTTTCCGAGGAGTCCTTGCCTGACGCTCCATGAATCTTCATAGAGATCTCAAGATGCTGCCAAGCATATGGGCAACAGGATATAACACCAACATATATCTCCTTCTTAAGCGTGACATATTTTATACATTCCTTCAATTTCCTTGCAGATTCTTCGTTTTTTTTCTTTTCCCAAAGAGGGTACGCCGCCAACCTTACTGTATCCATCAGGATTTGATCTCATGATCTGTTTAACAACAGTTACATGTGTGTACCATTCAGCCGCAGGCCTGACCGCTAAACGCATATAAGTGGGAAACGCCTCTTGAAAAAGGTTATCATACAAAGTGAAAGTCCATCACTTGAATAGGATCACCAAATCACAGCCTTCTGTGCCCACAAGGATGGGTAAAGTTTTTTTTTTTTTTTTCATTTGTAAGGAAACCACATCCCTTGGACATCACATGCAACAAAACAGAATGTTTAAAAAACACATGGTGAGCGATGCAAAAAGAACTGAAGGAACAGCAAGGTGATGATAAGGACGCATACAATCAATGTGTACGCAAAGTTGCAAACAGACAAAAAATGAAGCAATGTAGCACAGCGGAAGACTCAAGATAAGACCTGACACACCAGACTCAGACTCGACTCACACCAGCACCATCCCACATGTCACACTGCAAGGAGGGAGTCATACACAGAAGAAAGGTCCCTCCTTGCTCATGCGCATAGGAAGATAACCACAGATGATGAAGGGGGAACAGAGACAAAGAATAAAGAGGGGAGAGGAGATAAGAGCAAAACTCGTAGTACAACAAAAATAGTCTCCCCGTCAGATGCCCAACTGATGTCTTTCCTCAAAGTGTCGAATCAGATCCTGGGCACTCAAGACCCTATAATAGTCCCTGCCTGTAATCTCTCTCTCTCTCTCTCTCTCTCTCTCTCTCTCACACACACACACACACACACACACATGCGCTCCGATGGCAACGTGCTGCACACAGATGACACCCTGCAGTTAAATGGGATAATAGTATAATATCACAATCGGTGTTACCCCCCCGAATGGTCGGGGGGGGGGGTTCCCCGGAACGGCCGGGGGGCTGACCCGAACTCCCGGGGGGGGCCGACCCCGGGTTCAGGGCCCACCAAACCCCTTTTCGGGGCCTATTTTTTTTTCTTTTTTTTGAATTTTGTTTTACTGATAGACTACTACATAAAGCATCCACCTGTAATTTTTCGTTTAATTTTGTTCAGCAGGAAAAAAAAAAAAAAATCGAAAGTTAGGGGGGTTACATAATTTCGGAACTCTCCCCCACTTTGTCATTTTGTTTTCTCTTTTTTTCCCTTTTTTTCTGGTTTGTTTCACGGCTGGTCCCCGGATGGACCGGGGACCCCTGCCCCATCCGCGGTCCTCCCGGTTGGACCGGCCGGTGGCCCAGGACGGTTCCCTCCCGGTTGCCCCCGGCGCATTTTCGCTGGGGCCTGAATTTTTTTTTTTGCTGGCACGTATGTGTTCCCGAGGCCTCGTGGGGGTGGGCCCTGCCCCGCAATTTCGAAACCGGGTCCTGTAGGCCCGGATTTTTCAAGTCCAAAAAGTGGCCAATCTTGGCCACCAATTGTCGCAGATCAGCGGCAAAGATCGGGCAGGACCCCATTTCTTAAGAAAAACGGGCAGAGGATATCTGCCGCTGATCTTTGCAGATCAGCAGCGGAGAACCGCCACACATTTTTCTTAAGATGTGGGTCGGGTAGGCCCCTTCTCCAATTTGTCATCTTGTGGTCCAACGTACCAGTTACCATTGGCAACATCTGATGCTCTTTCACCCTCAGCCACGAGGGGAACACTATGCTTGTGATGAGGCTCTGCTGAGATTATATCCTTCTGCAACGTCCCTGCCATCTGTGGAAAAAGTTATGGGTTCGGATTTTGGAATCGTGATGTCAGAGCCATCCGAGGTGCAAGCCCTAAGCTATATTCTTCTCTCTATCTATCTCGAATGGACCTTGCTCCACTACATGTATCTGGACAGACTACCAGGCAAGATACTTCCGGACTGATAACTCACCTTATGTAGAAACCAACAAACAGAAAATGATCTGCCTCCACGAGCTGAAAGCTGGAACCATAACTCTTCTGCTGTCGAGTTATACTCTGGAAGAGCTATAACTTCTGACAAGGACTTCATCTCATCATATCCGGTTCAGTTCGTGGGGTATCAATATCAAATGACACACTCCACGAAGTGCTCCAGCCACGGGGGGGTCGGATAAGTGAACTGGCTTACTTGACCGCTCCCCATGAAAGCCGTAGTTGCCTGATGTCAATAATAACCCCCTGCCTCCCTCTGAAGCCCCTGAAAAATATTGCACCTTGAAAATTTTATTGCGGATTCCGACAGCTCTTGAAGAGCGCAGTCGGAATCTGCCGAAAAAGAAAAAAAAAAAGAAGATATTTGGGCACTTTTTAAAAAAAAAAAACGGTTTCCCGCTTCACCCCCCCGGGGCCTCGTCCGGCTCCAGTTGGACCGGGGTAGCTTAACCGGGCGGTTGCCGGCCCAGCACTGGTTTGTTTGTAATTTGCTCGGATCAATCAATCGATCAATCAACGAGTTGTTTGTTTGATTGATTGATTGATTGATTTCGTTTTTTTTTTTGTTTTTTTTTTTTGGGGTCGTGTGAAGACGTTCAAAACCAATCAATCAATCGCTCAGAGTTTATTGATTATTTGATTGATTGATTTCGGTTTGTTTTTTCTTCTTTTTCTTTCCTCTTTTTTTTTTTTTTTGAAGACATTCAAAATCAATCAATTAATCAATCAATCAATCAGTTGCTCAAAGCTGATT